TGTCCATCTGACACACGCTTGGCAAAGCTCCTGCTACTTCTCCCTGTGGTTTTGTATCTGTTAGGGAGGGACGAGGTCCAGCACAATCCACTCCCATGGCTCCAAGTGATGAGCAGTGGGTCGGGACCGTGCAGAGAAGCTGTTTCTGGTTCTTGCAGAGCCCCTGCCCTGCTCTGTGTGGCTGTGACTCCTCCTTGGCAGAGCAATGCATGCTGGTGTCTGCAGACACCAGGAAGCACAGCCATGAGACAAACTGGTACCTGGAGGAGTCTTGTGAGATGGTGGCCTGTCCCTGAAAGGTACCAGCATCCTCCATGGCATAGTAGATGAGTCCACCCACTGAAGGCTATCCCTCCATCCTTGATGCCATCCCTGGAGGCTGCCACTGCGAATTCTAGCTGGTGATTAGCATGGACGTGGAGCTGCTGGAGATGGTGCAGGTGAGTGAGAGGGTCCCTGTTTCCCCAGTCCCACCAGCCTCTCACTTGGGTGCTGGAGCTGCACCTGGCAGGGGACACCTTGAAGGGAACAGCCAGAGTCAGTGACCAGTCCTGAGCTCTGAGGGAGGGGACAGGAGCAAACAGCCACCCCCTCAGATGTCACAGTGGGGTTGGGTGCCCAGAACTGCTGAGTCCCACTGGGCCTGTGTGCCTGGGGACCCCCAGCTCTGGGACCCTGCAGGACCACCCAGGTAGGATTTGTTCACAGGTGCCCCTGGGGAGATAAGAGCTGAGAGCATTTGGGTCCTGCCTGCACTTCATGGGGGGTGGGGGGAAGGCAGGGGGTTGTGTGATGGAGACACATCTGCCTGAGGCAGAGCAGGGAGGTCAGTGCAGGGGAGGGGTTTGGTGACGCTGCCTAGGTGATCCAGATAGCCCAATACCATCAGGAACCCCAATACCATCTGCTTCCATCATGTAGGGCCCCAGTCCAGCAGGTAGGATCGGCCTGCACCTCCAAGGCAGGTGTGTCCTGCTGCGGTTCCCTGCATCCTGCTCTCTCCCTAACGGAGGCTGTAGTTGCAGACGTGTTCCCTGAGGTGTGGCAGGACCCAGACACCCCACACCCCTGGCCAGCCAAGTGGGAATGGTTCATGCAGGGCAATTCCCTCCTCCGCTGTGGATCAGCTGCTCACCAGCCCTGGATGCCGAGTGTGTCTAACCCTGCAGAGAGACAGCTGTGCTGGCAGCTGCTGCTTCTGCTGCTCCCCCAGACAGGGAGGGGTGTTTCCAGGATGGGGATACAGGGTGGGTCCTCAGGCTCCAGCTGCTCATTGCAGGTCTCAGGTGGAGCTGTCCTCAGGTGCTGGGAATTGCCTGTGGATGGTTGTGGAGTCACAGGTGCTTGGCCATGTGTTCTCTTCCTCCGCAGCACCCCCTACTTGCTGGGGGCTTTGGCTGGGCTGTGCCGATGCTACTTCTGGGACTAAAAACCCCTGAGGTCCCAGGCTGCAGAGTCCTGCCCAGGTCAGTCCAATTGCCAGGTTTCTGCTGAGGGGAGGATGTTACCCCATCCTGTGATTGGAAAGAACTAGGGGATACAGGGGCCACCTTTTTCTGCAGCAGTGTCACGGCCTTTGCCTCGGATGTCTGGAGCATGATTTAAACTCCTTTCAGTCCTTACAGCAGCAGGACACTGGCAGGGCCCAATCCCCCTCTTTCTCTTGGGTGCTTTAAGGTGGCTTTGGGTGATCCTGCATTGGCCCTGGTAGCTGTTTGAGAGGGTTGATCATGATGGCTAGGAGCAGGTTAGTGAAATGTGTATCTGGGCTGGGTCAGACGGGGCTGGTCCTGCCTTGAGCAGGGGCTGGACTGGATATGACCCTTCCCCACCCCCAGGCCATGTCAGCATGGCTGCTCTGTGAGTCTTTGCCTCCTGGCTTCCCTTTCCCAGACCTGGGGCTGCTGATGCCTGTTGGAGAAACTTAAGTGACCTGTAAACAAGGGAAGTGTGTGGTTAAAGCAGGAGGCCGAGCAGGGGCTTGCAGCTGCTGCCTCTGCCTCCCTCTGGCAGACAGGTTTCTTCTCCGCTGGTTCTTGTGCAGGCTCCAATAGGTTTTCTTTCACTGTGTCTTTGGCACAGTAATACACAGCCGTGTCCTCGGGTTTTAGGCTGGTCATTTGCAGGTAGAAGTTGGAGCTGTCCTTGGAGGCTGTGAATCGCCCTTTGATGCTTGGAGAGTAGTAGTCACTTTGCCCTGCTTTCCAGTAGGTGACCAGCCACTCCAGCCCCTTGCCAGGCCCCTGCCTGAGCCAGGACATCGAGTAGTCAGTAGCAGTGAACCCAGTCACGGCACATCTCAGCCTTGTGGACTCTCCAGGTTTCTTTATCTCTGAACCGGACTGTGTCAGGACAATCTGGGACCTGGAAACTGTGGAGAAGAGAGAGAGAGAAGGGATCAGCAAGCCCGTCCACCTCAAAAAAGCCCTCTTTCACTCCCAACACAGGTAACACCACAAAGAGACGCTCTGGTCACAGCAGCATCAGTGCCCAGATTCATGACTCTCCTGTCCCCTCTACTGCCGTCAGGGAATCAAATACCGCCCAGTGCTGTGGCCACGAGCACGGCCAGGGCCCAGAGCCTCATGCTGCTGGTGTCTGGAGGAAAATGTCTTGCTGTGAGCAGCTGGTCCCTGCACAGACCCAGCAGTCAGGCTCTGCCTCACTGTGCAGCCTGGCCTGGGAGGACTGGGTTTAAGCAGGGAGTGACCCTCTGCATTTGCATATCCTCCACCTGATCTGGGAGCTGCATTTGCCTATCACCCCTCCTTACAACAAGGGCAGCCCTGAGGACAGCATTTGCTGGGTTGGAGAAGAAAACTCAGTGGCCTTTTGCTTTGCACCAACCAGCAGCTGTGGGACACTGGGAGCCTTGGCCTGGATTTCCGTGCTCTCTGCAGCTGACCTGTGTGCTGGTGCAGGCAGGGGTCCGCGGGTGAGACAGTTTCTGGGTGGGGGCTGGAGGTGAACCTGCCTCAGAGTCTGGGCTGACCGGAGCAGTGGGCACAAAGGAAGAAACAGGCTGGGGATGCCTGGCTGGGAGCTCAGCATCCCTCTCTGGGCTCCTGCATGAGCCAGGGTACCTGGGGACTGTGCTGAATCCATCCTTGTAGTCAGTGATGCTGCTTTACTGGCCAATGGTTTGGAAACACAGGATGGTGCCTGCACAAAGGCTTGGGTCTTGCTATAGGATGCACCCCATTGCTAATGAACAGAGTCACAGGTGCTTGGCCATGTGTTCTCTTCCTCCGCAGCACCCCCTACTTGCTGGGGGCTTTGGCTGGGCTGTGCCGATGCTACTTCTGGGACTAAAAACCCCTGAGGTCCCAGGCTGCAGAGTCCTGCCCACGTCAGTCCAATTGCTGCACTTTGGCTGAGGGGGGGATGTTACCCCATCCTGTGATTGGAAAGAACTAGGGGATACAGGGGCCACCTTTTTCTGCAGCAGTGTCACGGCCTTTGCCTCGGATGTCTGGAGCATGATTTAAACTCCTTTCAGTCCTTACAGCAGCAGGACACTGGCAGGGCCCAATCCCCCTCTTTCTCTTGGGTGCTTTAAGGTGGCTTTGGGTGATCCTGCATTGGCCCTGGTAGCTGTTTGAGAGGGTTGATCATGATGGCTAGGAGCAGGTTAGTGAAATGTGTATCTGGGCTGGGTCAGACGGGGCTGGTCCTGCCTTGAGCAGGGGCTGGACTGGATATGACCCTTCCCCACCCCCAGGCCATGTCAGCATGGCTGCTCTGTGAGTCTTTGCCTCCTGGCTTCCCTTTCCCAGACCTGGGGCTGCTGATGCCTGTTGGAGAAACTTAAGTGACCTGTAAACAAGGGAAGTGTGTGGTTAAAGCAGGAGGCCGAGCAGGGGCTTGCAGCTGCCACCAGAGCAGTGGGCACAAAGGAAGAAGCAGGCTGGGGCTGCCTGGCTGGGAGCTCAGCATCCCTCTCTGGTTTGTGCAGGCTCCAATAGGTTTCCTTTCACTGTGTCTTTGGCACAGTAATGCACAGCCGTGTCCTCGGGTTTTAGGCTGGTCATTTGCAGGTAGAAGTTGGAGCTGTCCTTGGAGGCTGTGAATCGCCCTTTGATGCTTGGAGAGTAGTAGTCACTTTGCCCTGCTTTCCAGTAGGTGACCAGCCACTCCAGCCCCTTGCCAGGCCCCTGCCTGAGCCAGGACATCCAGTAGTCAGTAGCAGTGAACCCAGTCACGGCACATCTCAGCCTTGTGGACTCTCCAGGTTTCTTTATCTCTGAACCGGACTGTGTCAGGACAATCTGGGACCTGGAAACTGTGGAGAAGAGAGAGAGAGAAGGGATCAGCAAGCCCGTCCACCTCAAAAAAGCCCTCTTTCACTCCCAACACAGGTAACACCACAAAGAGACGCTCTGGTCACAGCAGCATCAGTGCCCAGATTCATGACTCTCCTGTCCCCTCTACTGCCGTCAGGGAATCAAATACCGCCCAGTGCTGTGGCCACGAGCACGGCCAGGGCCCAGAGCCTCATGCTGCTGGTGTCTGGAGGAAAATGTCTTGCTGTGAGCAGCTGGTCCCTGCACAGACCCAGCAGTCAGGCTCTGCCTCACTGTGCAGCCTGGCCTGGGAGGACTGGGTTTAAGCAGGGAGTGACCCTCGGCATTTGCATATCCTCCACCTCCTTAACAAGGGCTGATCTGGGAGCTGCATTTGCCTATCACCCCTCCTTACAACAAGGGCAGCCCTGAGGACAGCATTTGCTGGGTTGGAGAAGAAAACTCAGTGGCCTTTTGCTTTGCACCAACCAGCAGCTGTGGGACACTGGGAGCCTTGGCCTGGATTTCCGTGCTCTCTGCAGCTGACCTGTGTGCTGGTGCAGGCAGGGGTCCGCGGGTGAGACAGTTTCTGGGTGGGGGCTGGAGGTGAACCTGCCTCAGAGTCTGGGCTGACCGGAGCAGTGGGCACAAAGGAAGAAACAGGCTGGGGATGCCTGGCTGGGAGCTCAGCATCCCTCTCTGGGCTCCTGCATGAGCCAGGGTACCTGGGGACTGTGCTGAATCCATCCTTGTAGTCAGTGATGCTGCTTTACTGGCCAATGGTTTGGAAACACAGGATGGTGCCTGCACAAAGGCTTGGGTCTTGCTATAGGATGCACCCCATTGCTAATGAACAGACAAGATCTCTGATGGCAGCTGCTGCCTCTGCCCCTCACACAGGTAGGCAGGTCTCTACCAGGCTTGTTCCAGTGCTTGTTTAATGCAGGATTTCCCTCCATGTGTATCCAACAGTGAGATCAGGCCACATCCCTGGACTCCAGGTTGCTCAGCTGCAATTGCACCCAGCTCCTGGTGGCGACTCTGGTGATGCTGAGGCATGACCTTAGTTTTCTTTTGGGATTATCTCAACTGTTCCCCTGCCAGTTAAGCCAGGCAGGGCACTCCACTCCCCTCAGGATTGTTTTCCCTATGTGTCACTGAGTCAGGAAGACATAAACTTGCCTCAGTCAGTCAGCCTGGGTCCTGTCTACTTAGAGACTGGGGCAGAAGAGCTTGGAGAAAGGGCTGAAGCCACTTGTCTCTGCAGTATATGTGGACCCAGTGCAGAATTTGGGGGTAGCTCATGGGTTTTGGTGTGCAGGGGGTGACAGCTTGTTGTGATGTGCAAAGATCTATCACCCCAGCATCCTAGTTGGGCCCTGAGCTGCCATGGCCCTCTCTTCCCAAGGTACTTGTCTGATTCCAGACAGGACAAAGGTTTCCAGGGTGTGGGACTCGTGGGGCCAGTAATGAGTGACCCTTCAGAGTCCTAAAGAGAAGTGACACCTCATCTCTCCTAGTTTCCTGGGGGCTTCACTTTTCCAGTTGCAATGGGCACTGGGTGCCAGGAAAGGGGGAAATCCCACTGCTTGTCCAGTGAGGAGCCCAGATCACACCACAGTCCTGACCCACCTGTACCCTCTGACATTGTGGCATGTGCATGCTTAGAGCAGAGCCTCAGAGAAGCGAGGGGTCAATGGATGCCAGGAGAGGCCTGGTGGGATTCCCAGAGAGTTGGGGTCATTGGTTTCACTAGTAACAGACCTGCTGGGTAGGAGGGTGCAGGTGTTGGCAGGGTTTTAGACATTCAACTTCCTTTGGAGTGAATTGGCAGTAGGCACCTAAATGTATTTGAAAATCTCTCCCCTGCTGCTGTCCTTGGAGACGCAGAGTGTAAAGACATCCCTGCTGCCTTCAGCTCTGGTTAGATTTGCAGGAAAGCAAACAACAGGACAGCTGTGTTTGTAGCAGAAAGCTTGTGTTCATTTTCTCCTTCTCTCCCCATCACCAGATCAGAGTTGGGAGTAGGGTGAGGCTGATGAGGGGTCCAGGCTGGTGTGGTGTTGAGCCTACATGAGCACTGGGATATGCAACCTGCTAGTTGGTGGGATGAAGAGAACCTGAACCTCCACACTGCTGACCCCCATCTGTCCATGTCTGTCCAAAGTAGACATCTGATGACCTGGCCCAACACTTGTGATTGATGGAGTCCCTGTGTGGCTGGGCCTTGACACAGACTCCAGGGCATGTGGTCCCAAAAGAGCAGAGCAGTGGACTCCATGACTCCAGAGCGGTCCAAGCTCGCCTGGCACCGTGGTACATGGCTGTGTCGGCTGCTCCCATGTTGTTCAGTTGCAAATGCGTTTGGTTCTTAGAGTTGTCCCTGGTGATGCTGATTCAGTTCCTGAAGGCTGGATTGTACCACAGGTTTTCATTACCCTGAGATAAACTCCATCTCCTTCCCAGGAGACTGCTGGGCCCAGCTTCAAGCATGATCCCAAAGGGCAGCACCATAGACAACACATGTGAGTGAGGTAAACTCCATGGGCTTCACCAGCTCCATTCCCCGCTGCTCCAGTCACACTTCAGAGATGCCCCTTGCAAGAGGTGCATGCAGCAAGTGAGCCCGTGAGATTGCTGGTCCATTAGATATCCCTCCCAGCACTGCCCAATGTGGGGTGGGGGGCACCTTGCCTGGGGCTCATCCCATCCCTGATGGGCCTGTCAGGGGTTATGAAGGGAGGTGAGACTCACCTGAGAGCAGGAGAGAGAGGACAACAAGGAGCAGATGCATGGCGGCAGTGACCTGGGGTTCACTCAGCTGCTGGGATCCAGGGGTTGGTGATGAGACACCCCAGGGGGGCTGTATGTATGTGGTATGCTCAGTTCAAGGATTTGCACAGGGCTGGGCCCAGCCAGGCTCTGGCTCAGTGCAGCTCAGCCCATCCTGCTGCAGGGCCCAGGGGCTTGGAGCTGCCTCGGGGGCTTCTCATCCGACAGAGCTCAGTGTGGATGGGAAGGAGGTGCTCAGGGATGTGGGATGCAAGCAAGAAATGCCCTACCCCAGTCAGCACTACTGGGGGGTTCCCATGTTAGGTTGCTGTAGAGGATGGAGCCCTCTCTGTGTCCACTCCAGCATTTCCCCTTAGGGCCTGACTGATTATTCCTTGGTCTGTCTGTGTCCTTTCATCCCAGTGCAGGTCACTACTGGGTGGCAACGTGTCACAGCGCTTCATGGCAGACTGTGAGCTCAGTCCCCCAGAAAGCACCCAGTTGGGTCTCTGAAGGGGTGGAGTGGCCGGAGTCTCAATACACAGCCCAGAGCAACATGCGCTGCACCCACCCTCTGCAAAGCCGAATCAGCCCAGGTCCCTGGGATGATGCTTTCAAATGCCTTGCTGTATGGTT